TATTAATTAAACTTAATTATAATATTTCTTCTACGTTTGTTAATCTAAAAGTTAACAATTTCTAATTTAGTATATTTTTCCTGTCAGATAAAAATTGAAAAAATTAAACCTGAAAAAATTACAAAAAGATGTTTTCTCAGATCTTCCGAAAATGTATCAAAAAGTTTACTTATATTTCTAGAAAATTAAACTATACAGTATGTCCCCGAATTGTGAAAATATGGAAAAGTATAAACGAGATTAAACCATTTTAAAACAAACAATTTTTTTTTATGAAGAATGCATTTTTCTCAAAATGTCAATAATAAATAAGTTTTTCGTTTTGTTGTAAAGAAACAAATTCAAAAAAACAATCCGAGGACATACTGTATACACCATAGAGTATATTTTTAAATTTATCTCTATTAAACTTTTCGATGTATTGTCATCTGAACCTACAGACTTAACTTATAACTGGTTTTAAGAACATTTTTTCTTATTGACTTATTTATTTATTTTCTTATTCTTATTTCTGTATTTGAATGCTCTTTTATACCACAAATAATATATTTCTAGACTTCCATAAACGCACCCGATAACTGGGCTGGACGTTTCTGGGCTAGGACATGGTGCGATTCAAGAACAAAGCATTGCTTAACTGGTGACTGTGGAAACAAACTGCAATGTGCTGGAGCTGGAGGTGTGCCTCCCGTTACTCTCTTAGAAATTACATTAAAAGGTGACGCTGGAAAGGATTACTACGATATCTCTCTGGTTGACGGATTTAACGTTAGAGGATTCGTAAGTACATTAATTACATGTCTCTGTTTAATAGGTTATTTTTTAAATTAGTTTATAGGTATAAAATAAATAAAAATAAATTCCTCTATAATAAGATTCACTCTAAGATAATTTTCAAGATTGTGTTGAAAAAACTAAACTTCCCTAAAAAGCACCAATAATATGACACCTTTAAAATTAAGTACGAGTTTAAAATCACAGAACAACATTTAAAAATTGAAGAAATAATATGTCTTTCCTCTAAAAACACATTTGGTTAACCATGTTCGTTAGGAAACAACTAAAAATCAACAGTAATTTTATTGTAATAATCTGGAGGCTAGCCCACATATGGGTGGAATTATTGAAATACTTTTCTTACTTTCAAAGTCCCAATATCAATAAGTATTAAAAACTTACGAAATCGATAAATTTCGAGATCTTTCATTAAAAAATATGTAACCATGAATTAAAGTGGTTCAATGAAAGAAAGAGACCAAACCGTTTTCAAAAAATGTTCGCATACAAAAAAAGTGATTGACTCATCCTAATTAAGCAACAGAAAAGACAAAAAAGTATTTCAATAATTCCACTTATGTAGCCTTTTCCATAAGAGTACGGCCTAACTAAAATTAAAGTATGCCTACTAAGAACCTAAACTATTTAACTATAACGGTTGGTTTTACTATCATCTATTATACATATTTTAATATTAATACAGAATTGTTAACTGTTCAATAGATTTTCTTAATATTTTGTAGATTGAACCTGTGGGTGGAAAAGGAGACGGTAGCAAATATAGCTGCAAGCGAGCTGGTTGCTTAGCTGATATTAATAGTGGATGTCCAAAAGAGTTACGAGTTACACACCAAGGAAAAACTATTGCTTGTAATTCGGCTTGCAATAAGTTTAATACTGACGCATACTGCTGTAGAGGTAAAGTTTATTTAAAATATTGACTGCTTCCAAAATATGAAATATTTCCCATTCTATCAAGAAAGCTGTCAAAATTTTACAAATTCTGGTAGCAATGGTAATGTAAATTGAAATTCTGAAACAGAAAAGTTACGTCAAAATACGTAAATCGGCTATTAAAATACGTTATATTTTAAATGAATTACTGTTTTAACATGCATTTTTTACAGGCAAATACAACTCAGTTAAGACGTGTGATAGTAAAAAATGGCCTAAAAACTATCCAGCTTATTTCAAAGGCAAGTGTCCCGATGCTTACAGCTACGCATACGACGACCGTAAGAGTCTCTTCACCTGCAAAGCTTCGCATTATAGAATCCAGTTTGGTGCATAACAACATAATCAAAGTAAAAAATCATATAATGTAATTGAAAAATAAATAAAGTTTATTTCTGATCTATTGATTGCAATATGTTATACTAGTAATAAGTTTCAAAATGTCACAGGAATTGACACCCCAGAGTCGAAAAACAAACCCAATTGGAGTTTTAATTCTCAGTTTTTTATAACCCTATTTTGAAACACTTTTCCTTAAAAAATTGTTGTCCAATACCCAGCACTTTTTTTAATCTGAAACACTCAGATTGGTATTTACATATATTATATATATATATATATATATATATATATATAAACGGGATTTGGTTTAAGTATTTAATACTCATTTCCAACTACAGCCTATTGCTGCCTTCCCGTTACCCTACGCCACACATCTCGATTTAGAGCGTCATCAGCTTCTAGGTTACGAGCTTCCATTGCTTCCGTAACCGTTCCGTTCAGGAGGATTTTCTAGGTCTACCTCTCTCTTCTTCTGCCCTGGGGAGCCCATTGAAAAACTCTTTTGGCCACCTGTTCTCGGCATGCACGCAGAACATGTCCAAACCATTTTAAGCTGGATTTTCGATTAGATCCAGTACTGTCTCCTCCGATGCATTCATGATACGCCTGACCTCGATATTTGTCTTTTTTTCCATCCTAGATATACCTGCACTTCTTCTAAGGTAGTCCATTTCAACAACTTGGATTTTGCGCTTCACGTCTGCACTCAGAGTCCACAGCTCTGAACCATAGCAAAGACTCCACCAATGTTCTTCCAAGTCTCTTTTTAGTTGTTGCAGATAAGTTTCGGTCCCACCAAAAGTCCATCAAAGTTTTTAATACTAAATATTTACTGAAGTTTATTTATTAATCAGTTATTGTGTTGCCATAATAAAAATAATACTACCTCATACAGAGTGTCTAAAAATTTATTTTAAATAATTTGTAGCTTTAAACGACAATAACTTGTTTAATTTAAATGAAACACCCTGTATATTTTAGGAGAAGTACATGCACAATTTAATTGTCTATCAAATTGTATTATACCATTTTTTACCTATCCCTTCAAGTTTTCGTAGAAAATGCATTTCCTTTCTTTGTGGGTCATAACTGGAATATACAGTTGACTTAGTAGTCCACAAAAGCTTCGAATTAGGTTTTCTATATGATATTTTCAATGTCTCTTAAAATAATGTTTCGTAAAATATGCTGGCAATAATGGTATATATTTTAAAGTAGTTTTATAAATATACAGGTTAATTCACACATTCACGATATACGCTTTATGTTTCAGAAAAACTATACCTAATGTTATTAATAAACAAAATACGAGTAGCGGAAAAAGGGGCCAAAAACCCTACATATATGTTTATTCTCTGCATTAAGTTCATCAGACCGAAGGGAACAGCCATTCGACGACCGGTTTCGGATCTGACCAACGAAGACCTCGGTCTGACCAACGAAAAGCAGAGAATAGCATTTGAGTACAAAACGTACTACTATGGCGAGAGTGCTAGACGCTCTACGCCATGTAGCGGCAGCTGTGACAATCACAGATCGTACCGCCAAAATTAAAACCAGCGTCCTACTGGACAAACATGCTTGCTTCATCCCCCACGTTACCGTATATTAATTTATATATACCCTACCTAAGCCTTCTTGGCTCCATCTACGGTAACGTGGATGAAGCAAGCATATAATGTTATTATCTATTCTGGAGGGTTTTTTTACTGTATAATCTTTTTAATTTTAACATCTTATACAATTTAAAGCAATATTAATGATATAAGTTAGAAAAGAACAAATGATTACTAATTAATTGTTAAGTGCTTTATTATTTGACTGTATCAAAATGGAATGCTAGATAATGCTATGTTATGCTAATAACATGCTAAATAATGCTAATAATTTCTAAATTGCATTGTTGAAGGATGAGTCAAATCTAGATATAATGCGTTAGGTATTTAAATATTTTAGAACTTAAAAAGTGCAGAAAATTTATCTTTTTAAAACCACTAAATAGATCATGACATCATGATCTTCTTGAGACAGTATAAATCTACTATAAAACAATATCCCACTGTATATTAACAAAATATAATTATTTTATTTGTAATTTAATTTTTGTAGGATTTTTGACTGAAACTTGTCGAACTTAATAAATAATTTACGAAATTCGAGAAGTGGTTAAAAATAAAAAATACTAACGTATTACTATTTTAAAAGAATTCAACCACAAAGAAAATCCGCGTTACGCTGTATACCACACAATTCATCAGAACTAATTAAGTATAAATATTCTTATTTCTCAGGTAATAATTATCATAAATCTAAATTAAATATTCCGGATTCGTAACACATGAAGTAGATAATGAATATAATAATTTTGGACAAAATGTGAATATTATATTTTATTTATATTCATAAATACGAATATTACTATAAAAATTGCCATTTAAATATTAAGAATATTCCTTTTATTTGCACAAAAAAACCTATGGTAAATTTACTTTTGAATTTTTACTTTATTTTAACTTTTAGGGACTTTATTTTAAATTAAACATTATCTATAACTTATTTAATATAATAATATATTTAATAGACTTATACATATTCAATTTTTCACACTTTTTAAGTAGAAAAATATGTTTGTTAAATATACCTGATAGTAAATTATAATTTCAAATTGTTTAAGTATTCCATTCACTTTAAAGCAAGGTATATAATATGAAACGTTGTTATTAAAGTCCAAATATTAGTATCAAACTTACAATTAAAAGTAATTTTTTAGGCAAATAAACTACCAGTATTAATTTTAATTTGGCTAAATATTAATAAATAATAAAGCTTTTCAATATAAATAAAAATGGGAATGCTTTAGAAGTCTTAATAGTAGATAAGCTAAATGCAATGTAACAAACTATAAATGTAGGATCCTGAACGTGAAGTTCAGTAGTTGTTTCTAAAGTAAATAATAAATATAATATGCTGGGTATTATAAATTTCATATTATGTACATTTCTGTGTACCACCTTGGTAAACGCTGTCACATTTGACATAACTAATAGGGAAGGTGGACCAGTATGGGTCGGTATTCAAGGAAACCCTGGTCATCCCCATTTACGAAATGGAGGATTTATCTTAAACCAAGGACAATCGGTAATTACAATAACTCTATAATTATTAATGATTTAAATAAAGTTATAAATATCTTCGATATTTTGCACTGTTATCAGAATATAAATGCAGTTTTTTTAGAAATAATTATTATTATTTGTTTATTTTAATTATCAGTAGCGTTGGTTAATTAAGCTCTTTTTAAGTTTGTAGTTAAAAAAATGAGTTAAAGTTAGATATATTTTTCAATCCTACCGTAAATTTATAAAAGAACAATAATTTTAAATAAAATATAGATAGTATGTTTTGAATGTTTGTACGGTACAGGGTGATTTAATAAATCCGGACAGTAAATTTAAATCGATATTGGAATTTCAATAAAATAAATTTATTATTGCTTATGTAAAAATAAGAAAAACAAAACTAAAAATTAGTTATATCTATACAGAATGTGTCATTATAAATAAAAAATGTTTTGAAAATATTATTTCTTATCTTCTATTTAAAAAGACCGTCTAAATGGTAAATATTTTACTGTGTAGGATACTTATGTCTGAAATATACTTATTTTTTGCTTAATATAAGAATGATTCATATACTTTTTTTAATTTTCTAATTTTTGGTTTAAATAATTTAAAACATTTATTACTCCTCCAAAAGAAGCAAAAAGACTCTTTTGGATTTATAAACCAGGTCTCTTTGTAAAAAACTTTGTAAAAAAATCAATCTAGAGTGCCATGGTTATGTTAAAAATACTAATACTTAATCAAGGAGCCTTGGAAAAATAGATTTGATCGTCTCATGTTTTCAGTGTCTTCTCCTTATTTTAATACTAGATACTCCTATTGTTGAACAAATAATTTCATCTTAAAATCATAGGGCTGTGAAAGAAATATACCTACTTCCTTTTTGATCTAAACCTAGTGAAAAGTCTGTTGAGTAAGATTCCTTCTTATTATTAAATATGGATTTTGAAAAAAAATTCTAAATATAACTTAGAAAACCTAAAGTTTACCATATAATAACCCCATATAATATATAAGGAAAAAAAAATATACAGGGTGACAATTTGAAAACGAACAGTATTTAATATTACCTCTACCGATGATAGTATGAAAATTTGGCGAAACATAAAAATGGTAAAAGAAATAGGGGTTGCCATTTAAAATTTTAGGGGTAGGTGCCCTGGGGGTCAAGGGTTTGAAAGTAACACGATAACAAATGCCTCAAAAATTGTCCCCCTTGATATGTAAATTGACGTGTTTCGCCAAATTTTCATACGGTCATCGGTAGAGGCAATATTAAATACTGTTCGTTTTCAAATTGTCACCCTGTATAAATCAGCGTACTAAGTAAAAATTTACTACTACCAATACTATAAAAGACATACGATATGATCGGAAAAAAACGTCAGCAATGGCTATGAAATGAAGATCGGTCTCATTTTATATGTAAAATTATATAAAGGATGTCATCGATTGTCATTTCCAAGACAACTAGACGCCATTTCGATCATACGGTATATTTTTTGCATCATTGATAGTAACTACTAACTGCTAATGTATACAACTAAAATATATTCGTATAAAAATATATACTAACTACTTTATACAACTAAATAACATTTTTTTTATTTTTTCTTAGACTTCCATAAATGCACCCGACAACTGGGCAGGACGGTTTTGGCCTAGGACATGGTGTGATTATAATTCAAAACATTGCTTAACTGGTGACTGTGGTAATAAACTAGAATGCGCAGGTGCAGGAGGTGTACCTCCAGCAACCCTGTTAGAAATTACACTGAAAGGAGATGCTGGATTAGATTACTACGATATCTCTCTTGTTGATGGATTTAACATTAGAGCATTCGTAAGTTTACTCATTATACTATTTAGTGCTGTCCATCAATTGTTTAAAAATACTTTTTTGGAGTACTTACTTAACAACAAAAAAAACTCAACACCAATCTTTTAATAATGACTCCTTGTTTATTGATGATTTATGCTAATAGTAATAATTCATTCGACTAAATAATATTACAGATATTTTTATTATATTATTTAGGTCTCTGATTAGATTTGTCCTGTTGGGCAAATAAAATATATATTCATTTAACTATTAGTAAATCATTGAATAACTGTTTTGAACTTTCAAAGCAAATACTGATTTACTAATATTTTGTAGATTGAACCAGTAGGTGGAAGTGGAGATGGTAGCCAGTATAGCTGCAAGAGAGCAGGATGCTTAGCGGATGTTAACACCCAATGTCCCGATGTCTTACGAATTGTCCACCAGGGACAAACTATTGCTTGTGAATCAGCTTGCAATAAGTTTAACACGGATTATTACTGCTGCAGAGGTAAATATTGTCTACAATATGATATGCTTATAGACTAACAAATTATTTAATCAAGGATATTATCGAAATAGTTAATACCTTTGGTAAAATTAATTTAATATTCTTTATATTTGATTATATTTTTGTAAAAAAATTCAATCTAAAATGTGTTATGTCATAACTCACTGTTGTTTACTAATTCCAAAAAGCTATAGAAATAGAATATTAAGATATGTTGCATTAAAATACTAATTAACAATATTTTGACTTTCAACTTTTACAGGTCAGTACAATTCAGCTCAAACATGTGATAGCAGAAAATGGCCTGTAAACTATCCAGGTTATTTCAAAGGCAAGTGTCCCGACGCTTACAGCTACGCATACGACGATCATAAGAGTCTCTTTACTTGTAAAGCTTCGCATTATAGAATCCAGTTTGGTGCATAACGACAGAATCGAACTCAAAAATCATATAATGTAAAATTGAAATTTGGCAAATGGTCTGTGTGAATAAACAAATAAATAAGTGCATAAGCGTTCATTTCTCATCTTTCCCATTTATCATAAAATGAGTATATAGGGTCGCTATAATTATATAATACCGTATGATCGAATAAAAAAGGCGTCAACGATGGCTATGAAATGAAGATCGCTGTCATTTTATATGTAAATTTATATGGGAAATGTCATCGGTCGTCATTTCCAAGCCAACTGGACGCCGTTTTTTTTAATCATAAGGTATATTATAGGGTTTTTAAATGCCTAACATCCTGTAATAAATTTAAGTATACAGGGTCGGTCATAAAGATTCATTTTCTTAAATAGACCTGTATATTATTGGGTATTTCAATTCTTCCTTCAATTTTAAGCAAAAATTGTAATACATATAATGTACCTAAATCCAACGGTTTCCGAAATATCGAGTTTTGTTTTTTTTTCAACTTTTTCCGGTACCTCGTATATTTTGCCCAATAATCGACCGTTTCCATACATATCAGTGACACTGTATAATATTGCACTAATAGGTAAAAAAAGTAAGTTTCGTAAAAAGGTCCCTCTAGTAATTACTACATTTTTTGTCTATTGTAAAAAAACGCCACCGTGAATACTTTTTGTGGATTTTTTTTCCCAATTAAGGCTGACTTCCAAAGCTTCTTCAGCTTTAACCTTACTTTGACCAGCTTGCAAACCTGAACTCGATTGACCACAACGTCAATTTATAACAATATCATATAACAGGTCATTTAGTACAATAGTAAACTGGCAACAACCAATGTTCCTACCAGCAGCGTTAATACAAATATGCCGGAAGATTAATAAATACAACATTTGTGTCGTTTTAAAATGGGACAAAATATATGTACTAAATTCAGTAAGGAATAAAATTACCTATGTACTTATTACTAATGTAAATTACCTATTACTAATGTACCACGGAAATTATAAAGTGTCAATAACCTCGGGCAATCATTGTCCCTCGGGCCATAGGCTCTTGGTAAATGACACCCTTAGAATCCCCCTAATACATAAACAAATATTGTTTACTGCTCTTAAGATGTACTAGGGAAAAATTGATTATATAATTATTATTTTTCATACAGTCTCTTTCTAAGATTCACATCTCACTGTAGTTCGAATCCTGATATAATGTTTTCCAGATTTATACACTTCGCATACAATCATAAAATATCAAAACCTTAAAATATAAAATCAATTTCAAATTTGTCTAATGAAACGTCAAACAAAATTGACGAAAGAAGGTGTTTCCATGACGTGGCTCCCGTCTCTAATGCACGAATATAAAAATAGATAGACTATTTCCTTAGTATTTTTATCAATAAATGTAATATTTAAAACTGGAGACTTTCTGGTTTTTCCGAATGAGATACATGTTGTTTATCCTAACCCTAACCTCTGATCCGCCGATATATTTTGCTAAAATAATTGCTTAATATTCTATAAATACAAAATTTAATAACCGGGAATTTCGAAGTTATATATATATTCAAATTGTCACACTTATTTACCAATAAATAACAATCTTTGTATAATACACTGATAGGGATTTATAATTTCAAATTTCTTAAGTATCCCAATCACTTTAAAATACAAAACATAAAATTATGTGCAGTAATATAAAAATAATATTTTAGAATTAATACTTTTATTCAACACAAACTTTTAACAACAAATAATTGTAAATATCAAATCTCTATGGTGAAATATAAATAAATTAAAACGTTTTTTGGTATAATCCAACTACATATTATGCTTAAGGAGTCTTAATACAAGATAAGTAAGCTGCAAATGTAATAAACTATAAAAACAGAGCACCTAATCAAAATGTAGTTCAGTGTATTTGTAAGATCAAACAAATAACTAAATACGATGGGTGTTAAAAATTTCATGTTATGGGCATTCCTGTGCACCACCACGGTAAACGCTGTCAGATTTGACATCACTAATAGAGAGGGTGGTCCTGTATGGGTTGGTATTCAAGGAAACCCTGGTCATGAACATTTACGCAATGGGGGATTCGTCTTAAATCAAGGACAAACGGTAAATATAAAATATCTAATATATACAATTCTCCGTGTCACAGTTTACCATACACTTCCCAAACGCCTTAACCGATTTTGATGAAATTTAATATGTATATTTAGTAGGTCCGAGGATAGGTTGTTATCTATTTTTTTATGATGTGGCATTAAAAAATACATACAACCCTAAATGTTCACCCTTCTACCATCAACCCCTATTTTTTAATAGCGATATTAATAATTCAATAATTTTAATTTAACAACCAATTGTTTTTTAAAATATATACCGGTATATACCCAATCATACTCACGTTATACAACAATTTAAAAATTGTTGTATAACGTGAGTATGATTGGGTATATACCGAGTAGAATGGTATTTACCCAAATTCGATATACCATTTATTGACCTTTGGGTATATACCGTGTGCAAAAACTTGGCTATTTACCCAAATTTCAATATACTGGGTACTTGCTCATCACTGACCTGAGTCACAGCAACACGTAGCCGGGTCTGGTTATACAGGGTGTCCTAGAAATAAGAGAAAGTATTTTTTAAGGGGTGGCAGATCTCGATAAAAGAAACAAATTTTCTCTTTATCGTTTTTCAAATAAGTCCAAAATAACTGAGTTATTTTACTTTGAAAATCCTATTTTTCAAAATTATATTTTGCTAAAATTTTGAAAACCACTGAACCTTTTCTGGATTTTCTTTCTTGTAAATTTAAGCTAATATCTATGTTGCCATACTATCACGAAATTATGTTTTTTAAATAAAAACTAAAAAAAATTCCAAAAAATTTTCAAAAAATTTCGAATTTTTAAATCTTGTTTTTCGCGAAAAAAAACTCATAGGCGTGTTTCTGGGATTGAACTATACTAATAGTTAAAATACTTGCACTTATTTCTGGGACACCCTGTATAATAAAAACGGGTAATACATCAGTATGTAACTGTATATTAAACTGAATCTATGAATTGTAGAAATAAAAAAAAAATAATTGAGAAATTCATTCCCTATAATGTAGACATTTTTTAATGTAAAAAACGTAAATAAAAAAAAATAAGATTTGTCTATTTGTCAGCCGTATAATATATTTTTCTTATTAGACTTCCGTAAATGCTCCTGACAACTGGGCAGGGCGATTTTGGCCTAGGACATGGTGTGACCCTAATTCAAAGCATTGCATGACCGGTGACTGTGGAAATAGAGTAGAATGTGCAGGAGCAGGAGGTGTACCTCCTGCTACCCTATTGGAAATTAAATTGAAAGGAGACGCTGGGCTAGATTACTACGATATCTCACTTGTTGATGGTTTTAACATCAGAGCCTTCGTAAGTAAATTACATTATGTAATCTATGTTACAGAATGTAGGGAGATTTACTAATTTTTTGCCGTATTATACACTGCAAAATTTTGACTTATGATTATATAAAGAAATTGGTGAATTTGTCCTAAAATAATCAAAACGTAGGTTTATTTGACAAATATATACATACAAACCAAGAAAAAACTAGATTAAAACACTCCAGATTTTAATAATAAGAGAATAATTTCTTAATCACCTTTCTTAGTATCTTTATTTTTTATGGAGTTAGGGTGGCTTTAATCCGCTCTAATTATACAGGGTGAGCCTTACATAAGTCCAAGTATTTTTAGGGCCAGTAGATCACGACAGAAGAAACACACATTCTCTTTATCGTTTTGGAAATAAGTCCAAAATAACCGAGTTATTTTACTTTGAAAATTAAAGAAAATATATATTTTGCCTAAATTTTAAGAACCACTGTTATTTTTTCTGGGGTACAAAATGGGATAAAAAATTCAAAAAACCATCTTTTTTCTAAAAATAACAAATTTAAAAAAAAATCGTAAAAAAACGGAGTCAAATCGGAGTTGTTTCTGGAGCCGAAATACACAAACCCTAAAATATTTGCACTTATTTAAGACTCACCCTGTTTATTTATTGATATAAAAGTTTCCAATTACAAGACTAGTAGATAAATAATAAATATTGTATTATAGCAAGTACAGAATTGAAATACGTTAATAAAAATATAGACAACAAACTCAAAGTTAAACTATCAAAAATTACGCGTTGTTTTATTCTTATTTATTTCTAAATTAAAGTTTTATTTTTTCTACATTTGATGTTTCAGAATTTTTTATTAGATTTATGTCATTCTTATTTAGCTCTGTAATTAGGTTCAGCTTGTTTATTAATATTTACAAATATTTTTTCTTTAACTTCCAAACAAATACTAATTTATTGACATTATGTAGATTGAACCGGTAGGTGGACGTGGAGATGGTGGCCGATATAACTGCAAGAGAGCTGGTTGCTTAGCGGATGTTAACAGCCAATGTCCCAACGATTTACGAATAAATCACCAAGGACAAACAATTGCCTGTCAGTCAGCCTGTAACAGATTTAACAACGACCACTACTGTTGCAGAGGTAAAATTATTTCCAATAGTTCATTAAGATCAGAAGAAAAATATTCATTTTTATCGAGATTAAGTATCAAACTACGTCTGGCAAGTTTAACTATATCTTCTTTAATATAGATAATAATAGTATTATACTGATAATTTGCGTATCAATGTTTCACAAGCTGATGACATTTTTTTTATTTCAAATGTGTGTGTACTCCCATTTTTGATTAAAAATTATCGAAAAAAAAAGCGTCAGCGATAGCTACGAAATGAAGATCGCTGTCATTTTATATGTAAAATTATATAGGGAATGTCATTGATGTTCATTTCCAAGCCAACTGGACGCCGTTTTTATATCACTCTACTCATGTATCTAAAATTAATAGTTTTTGAAAAAAAAATATTTTGGTCTAAAAACAGATATAATCAAAGAGAAGAATCACTGTACCTTAAAGAAAAGAAATGTGGTTTGTTTTTGGACGTGGTAGACAATTATTCAGTATTGAAAATTGAAACTAAAATAATTTCGGACTTCCGTTGTCTTTTTCAACTTACACAACGTTTCGGTCAGACGTATCACTGACCTACTGTACTGTCAGACTATAAAATAGACTATAATAGACATTTTACACATGATTAACCACCTTTTTTTAACTTTTTTATAGGTCAGTACAACTCACCTAGTGCATGCGATAGCAGAAGATGGCCCGTCAACTATCCAGGTTATTCCAAAGGAAAATGTCCCGCTGCCTACAGCTACGCGCAGCGCCGGTTTATACATAAAGCGGGACAAGCGGCCGCTTGGGGGCCCGGGTCCCGAAGGGGCCCGTATTTTGGTCATAAAGAAAATATAAATATGAAAATGAAGCAGAAGTCAATAAATAAATGGCCTCTTAAAAAAGGTAAAGAAAATATTTTAACTAAAATTTCTTTATTATGTACAGTTCGTTGCAGACCTGGAATCCAAAGCGAGGAAATTCTCTTCGGCGCGCTTCGCGTGCCCTAGTGCGCGGTGGTCTGCGGAAACTATCTCTGTTTTCGGTCATTTTCGAAATCTATTTCGGGTGTCTATTTTCTTTCGTCTTCCAGAAGATCTGAGTGAAGGTGATGGAATTCTCCGTACGTATTTCTTTTTATATTTATATTATGAATCCAAGATTTTCTTTTTTTGTTCTCACGCATTTCTTCTTCCTCAGCTATTGTACATAAAGTAAGAAAATCTCCCTCTGAACTGCTGCTAGAACTTGAGCACATAATGAAATTTTAACACACCTTTATCAAACCGTCATAGAGATAACACTAAAATTAAAACGGTCAGCTCAAAACAACTTTAAATACCAACCGCGTACGCAAAACCGTGCATAAGTTAGCGGACCCATCAAAAATTCGCCGCGCTGCGCCGCGCCGCGCTTCGCATAAGTGCGCGATATGCTTTATACATAAAGCGGGACAAGCGGCCGCTTGGGGGCCCGGGTCCCGAAGGGGCCCGTATTTTGGTCATAAAGAAAATATAAATATGAAAATGAAGCAGAAGTCAATAAATAAATGGCCTCTTAAAAAAGGTAAAGAAAATATTTTAACTAAAATTTCTTTATTATGTACAATATAATGTTCATGATCAACCGCCAACGGTATAGTACACAGAGAGAAATAAATTATTCGTGTGTATTAAATCAGTTTATTTACTTTTCTTAAAAATAATTTAATTCAAAACAGAAAATATGAATTCGAATAAGAAAAGCATATTTGCTATAAAATTAATTAATTTTTCTACTTAATTAATGCAACTAAATTATTTAATTGAGAAATGTATTGTAACAGCAATAAAATTATTGTTTATTCAACTAAAACTTTGCTAAGTTTATAAAAAACCCAAAGAATTAAACATTTTTACCAAAATTTTATTCCGCCAATTAAATTACATTTTTCATAATAATGAAAAGAGAAATATTAATAATTATAATTTTATTGAAAGAATAAAATTAATTATATAATTCTAGAAATTAAAGTTTACTTGTGGCAATTAAATCATGCCTCCTAGAATTAAAATATTACTGGCGTTCGTCTATTTCTTGGTAGTCCGTGAATTGTAGAACGAATTGGCCATTTTAAGAGAAGCAGGAGTACTTCCAAAAATGGAATCCAGAGCCGAAACAGATAGTTGCGATGATGAATTTAGTACTTAAGGAGAAGGTTAGGACTATTCTGTAAAAATTATCACACGTTATATATTCATGTTTTTTTTTAGATCAAATATCTGAAGTAGCTCTAAATTCCAAAATTTGGCTCGAACATCATTCCGAACCGTTTGAGGACGTTCTCAAGCATTGGATCGAAACCAATAGTTTCAAACGTACTCAGTCGGCCACTTCGGCCTTTCAGACTGTGTCCAGTATTTTAAACGAATGACTTATTTTGAAGTATCATTTTGGATATATCCTAGTAAGCCCTTTTTGTTATTATTATTATTACTTTATTACCATTGTGATTTTCTCTCTAATACCAAACGCCTTAATTTTCAGATTGAAAAAGATTTTGAGATAGAATATCCGAATATCCACAAAAAGAAAATAATCTTTTTACGAAATTCTGTGCTCTGTTTGACGCAGCATTGGAGCTGAAGAAAAAGACTTGTGTCAACACGGACAATGAGTTTTTAGTTGACCTGTTACAAGGCGAATTATCACAAGGTATGTTAAATTTCAAAAGCATATAAATATGCGCCCCCTAACCCAGATAGACATAATCTTTTTCCAAATTTCAGATTCACGAACCCTTATTCAGACTTATCTATTATGTTCGTTCATATGTAATAAGTCAATGAAGTTAAAAAAGTGGGAAACCCAGTGTTGCTGAATCAAGAGAATCGATTATACTTCAAGTCAAGTGCCCTACAGCCAGCATATTGAACAAATTTTTACAATAATTAAATCTTAATTCTGCGTATAAAAAATATTGTTTTTACGCAAATAAAAAATAATTTTAGTTACAAAACTAGTATGCTTCTCGTAATTAAAGTTTACTGTTACAGATAAAATATATATGTTTTAAAAATCTTATTAAAATTAGGAATAATATATACCTTTCTATTCTAAATTATAATTTACTTACCACAAATTAAATCAAGATATTCTTGTTGACAATCATTAATTATAGATATTATAATATAATACTGAAACAAATAAACTATTATTAAGAGAATTAAATCATGTTTTTTCTGTATTGTAAAATATTACTTATAGCAAATATGATTTTCTTTAACCAATTAAATTTACCAATTAAATAATTGAATTCCTTCAATTACATATTTAATTGCCCGATACGAATTAAATTATTTAATTATCAGAAATATCTACCACTTATATAAATTAAATCTTTCTCTCTGTGTAGATATAAATAATTCATTTTATGTTATTTATTATTCAATATAGGCCCACTGTCTCTAACATCAATGCCTTTTATTGTTTATGAGGCGGCAAGCAAGTGTTTGATATTTAGCAGCGAATATTTCCAATTCCATTTTGACGGTATCGAAATTGAGGCAGCGACTTTAGTGGATGATGCTACCTATAAAGAAGATTTTTCTCGAACTAGAAAAAGAAAAGTATTTTTCGACGAAACAAAAGAAAATGAAGTTCACCTGAGTGGCAAAGAGAAGTTTAAGGTGGAAGCCCATTACGTAATATATGACTCCATAATTCAAGATCTTGAAAGACAAATTAAAAGCTATCAAACTGTCAACGAACGTTTTAAGTGTTTTTTAGCAATATCGATGACATAGCATTTGAAGTGTCTGTCAATATCTTGAAAAGTACATATAAGTCGGATGTAGAAGGAGATGTATTAAATGATGAAATGGCTCATTTTACTCAATATGAATAAAAAGAAAATGATTGAAAAATTTGAACTCGTGCAGTCACTAAAATCAAGTTTCCCTAATGTGCTGACGTTGCTTGAAATTTATTTTACTATACCAGTTCCTAATGCTAGCGGGGAACGCTCATTTTCTGCGATAAAAAGGATCAAAACTTATTTGAGATACAAAATTAGCCAAGAAAGACTCGATGCTCTTTCTCTGATCCACATAGAAGGATCAAATATCGAAAAATTAGATTGCAATTTAATAATTGACCAGTTTGCAAAAGAGAAATGTAGAAATAAACACATTTGATCCGATGTCCCAAATTTTTATTTGGTTTACTTATTAAGTTATTTCTTTTATATTCTGTTCAAAAATTATTATAAATGTTTTATTTTTGCGTTAAATGTTGTTTAATATTACTAAAATGTTTTTTATAAAATGTTTATTAAAATACATTATGTTCGTTGAAACTTTTTTTTTACGTAGATAATTTAGTAAATTGTACAACAAACAACACACTACATACCCAACCATAATCATTAATCATTATGTATAACTAACGTAGGATAGGGGGGCCCGACAAAAATCCGCTTGGGGCCCGATGGCCCTTAAAACCGGCCCTGGCTACGCGTACGATGACCAAAAGAGTCTCTTCACTTGTAGAGCTTCACATTATAGAATTCAATTTGGCGCATAATATCAGCATAATCCATTTATAAAACCATATATGTCAATAAATGTTTATTTCTTATCTGTGTTCTAACTGCACTGTATTATTTCCATAATACACTACAAAATAGCATAGACACTGAAACTTTCATGTCCGATTTTCCACTTTTCTACTGATGATACATTTATTTTGGTGTCCTTATGAATATTTAATGCCTGTATTTCGTTTCATGTCTTATGTAAAGTTTTAAAAATTCAGCCAAACATCCTTTTTTGTAACCATTACAAAAAAGGAGAGGATCATTTTTAATTCAATATAAAAACTAATGTCAGTAACGCCAAGATCAACGATAACTAAAATCCTGGAAATCATTAAAATATTAATAGTCAACACTGGAAGTTATAGTCAATACATAATTTCTTTCATAGTTTCAAATAAATAATACGGAAACAGTATTATAGAAATAGTATTAATTTAGTAAATATACCGGGTGCGTCGCAAAGTTGCTCACCCCTATAACTTTTTTATTTTTTCAGATAAAATAACGAGATTTGGTATGCTAGTATATGACATAAATTTGAATTGATTGATGTATTCAATTATTTTGTGTCACTTTCTGTTTCACCGGAAATGTCGACAACTTTTGATTTTTAAATGGCACCCTCGGTATTTTTTTTACTTTATCCGATAGAAAATGACACTCATATTTTAAATTTGAAGCTAGGGTACCAGGGCTGTGTTAAACACACTAATTTTTAATCAAGGAGCGTTGGTAAAATAGATATGATTATCTAATGTTTTTAGTGTCTTGTCCTAGCCGATTAAAAGATGTCCAAATCGTATTTTTAATAATATCTCAGATTTTTCAAATGGAACGAGGGTGGCTCATTACAATATTTGGAAACAGCATTTTTTACGAATAATTTGATACCACACACTTGGTATTTCAAGTCAAATTGTCGTTATGAACCGCATGTTACAATTTCAAATACACCCTATGAGAGTGTGAAATTGATGAAATGAAAATTGTGAAAATTGACATGTGTAATGTCATTCTATTCAGAGTGTCATTTTCTATCGAATAAAATAAAAAAATACCGAGGGTGCCATTTAAAAATCAAAAGTTCTAGCCAAATCCGGTCAAACAGGAGATGAACGAAAATAATTGAATACGTCCAGTCAATCCTAATTTATGTCATATACTAACATACCAAATCTCGTTTTTTTCTATCTGAAAAAATAAAAAAGTTATAAAGATGAGCCACTTTTGAGACGCACCCGGTATATATATACATACAGGGTGGCGCACCTCTTTCGCCTCGGTTGATTATACGAAAAAGGAAAGATGTAGAAACAAAATATTTTATGGGTATATGTGGAGAGGCAATGTGGCACAATTTAAAATTATTTTGAAACATACAGGGTGTTTCAGAACTCAGATCCATACCAAAGTTATATTTTTTCTTATGGAACACATGGTATTTTATATATAAGGGTTATGTATGTTTAAAATCTTTGCGTTTTGAGATATTTAAATATATAGAATAGATTATTAACGCCTTGTACATTACTTCTCAGAATTAATTCTTGTGCTGAGTTTAAAGGTAGAGAAATAAACTTTACAGAAAAATGTTATTGCTTCCTTAAATTTATACAGGGGTATCAAAAATTGCTGATCTATTTTAAGAATTTATTTTACATAAAACTTCGATATTTCAAATACAACACCCTGTATTTTTTAAAATAAATCGAAGCAAATTCAAATGCTCAACTCTACTCAATGACAAAACTCTGCTCTCAATAAGTCAAGATACTTTTATCCTAAACTACTCCTTACAAATAGATACTTAGAGATTCAGTTCCGTATTCCATCTATTGTCATGCTAAACGTTTTAATAAAGCTTCGACGGACGATTTATATCCAGGAGCGGTTCCAAGAATGGCCGAACGTCTGTTAAGCGCTCGAATTGACCATCGTCCACCACCAGTGACGTCTCTTATTGTCCCGCAAGAAGATCGATAAAATCGGCTCTGGACGAGTGCGCCATTCCGCCGTTGTGGACCATTATGCTTTTGTATTTCGAAAGATGAGATTAAGATGTGACGAAAAATACCGCAACGGGAAATAAATAGAATAAAATTGTGAATCAGGCGATGTTGAAAAACGGATGACTTTAATTGAATGAATATATGTGTCATAATTCAATGCAATAATGCGTATACAAGGTTTTCCATTTAAAAAAAATCATCCCGATCGACTCACACTTTTTTGGGCCACCCTATAGAAGTTAAAATATTTTCCTAAAATACATCCTCGAACAAACTTTTTACATAAATTTACACTTAAACAAAATTTCCAAGTTTTTTATTCTAGGAGCTATATACAGATATCCGACGCACTATTGCCGGACCCTGTATAAATGTCGGCATTTTACAATAAATTATTGAAAATGCATATCAATGAGAAGAGTACTTCCAAAACAAGCTTTTATGGGCTTGAAATAAAAAATACCTAACCTAACGACTTTGATTCTGTTTTAATCGACCGAAAACTTTAAAGAAACTTTTCTATGAGCAAGTGTTTAATGCGATCTGGGACGAAGATTGTTTGTTTATGTGCTAAACAAAATGGGAGAATAGGAACGGGAAACGAGTCGGAACGTGATCGTCGTTCGGTTTTGAGCCACGTAATATTTTAGGGCTTATTTGAAAAGTTCTTTTGGAAAAATCGACGTTTTCTATTTTGCCGAAGATATTTTGTTACGACGTGACCAACTCGAGCGAAACTGGTAGCTGGAAGTAACGCCGCCCGCCGAGAACTTTTTTCATAAATATTCGGCACGATTTTCCAGAAAGCAACTGCAGCAGAAAGTCGAAATTTCAGCGGGAATCTTTATTGTTCGAAAAGTTGGACGCCAGCGACTTTGGAAGCGGCAAAGTCGGCAAAAACCGAATTCGCGGACTGTATATCAATAAGCGTCCAGGGGCGGATTTCGATAGAAAAATACAGATAAAGACGAACGAGAGAATATAGGGTAGTGTCAATACAAAGTGAATCGCTGTTCATATCAAGGATGGTGATTAAAATTTTAACTCAAAATATGCCAGCAATCTATACTAATATATAAAATCCTTAAGTGACTGACTCACTGATTGATTAATCACGATCCTGCTCAAATCACTCAACATAAAAAGCTCAATTTTGATATAGAGGTTGATTCTAGGCTGTAGAGGTTCGATAAGAAGGGATTTTTCGAAATTCCAGTTCCAAGGGGGTGAAACCACCCCTCAAATATTACAATATTTTTTATTTAAAAACGGTCAAGTTTCCGAAAAAACGCTTAAACACGTATATTTTATTTTGTTGTTTTACTTATTTTAAGATTTTTAGCTAGCATAGAACCAAACCATACACACAGGTTGGTACAGTATCAAGTTGATTATAGTGATTTTCTTAGCCACGTCTGGCACAGATCGCTACCTAGTATTTCCACAAGCTTATTTTTAATCGGGGCAGATTATCAGCGAGGTTAAATTGTTTTACAAAGGGGTAGATCTACCTCGAATGGGGTAGCAGGTGGTAGCAGGGTAGCAAGTGAAAACACTGCCGCTATCACTTTCCCTCTCGCTAGCT